TCATTTTTGAAATAAGACGGAAGGAGAAAGGCATAAATAAACCAACTATGGAAACAAGGTGATACTTACAATAACAATTCCTTAAATTTCTATAGTACCCTTTTATTTCAATATAAAAAATGACTTTTTGAGAGAAAAAAATCAGATTATCATTTTTTCTTCTAAGTCAAGAAGCTCTAGGAAAACTTAATAATTTTTAAGAAATAGCAGTATTTCATAAACAAGGAGGGGATGAACTAGGGAAATGATTTAGATATAATAGGGGCTCTTAGGAAAAGGGGAGGAACAGGTTGAGTCAGAGATGCCAGGATTTCGAGCTAATACCATTTCTAGGGTTGTAATAGATTGGTTTAGGCCTTTAAGTTATGGTGCATCTTATTTGTAAATAATTCTTAATGGCGATACTACTAATTAGCAGCATAAAAAGAAGGCAAGGTCCTTGTAATTCACAGGTTTTGTTCTTGGGGTGGCATGAAAGTGAAAATAAAAGCATACTGCTCTAAAAATTGCACAGCTTCCTCCTCCCATTCTCAGGACAGTAGATGTCAAAGGCTTGGACACCAACAAAAATGGAAAGTTCAACGTACAGACATTGCCGCCCACTTATAGTGCTCACCAAGTACTCATAACTTAGAGGAAGTATTTTTTTCTTTTACCAATACGAATTTACCAACTTGATTGTAAAATAATGCAGTATACAGCTTTGTTGTCTTCATCACTGGAATTTATTTATCCTGATCTCCACTCATCTATATATAACCTGTGCTTTCCCTGAACTCAGAGAAAGACACATGGCACCTGCTGTCCAGCCAGAAGTTATTTTAAGCTATTCTAAAATGAGTCATGGCATTTAGCACTTCACTTTTGAAAATCACGGGAATAATTTTTCAATCAAATTGAAAATAGTAAACATTTTCTGGTTTAAATCCATAGGTGGGTTTTAAAGTGTTGGGGAAACTATCTTAGGATGAATAAATAGTAAGGTGAATAAAACCTAGAGTAAACCAAACTTCAAAACAATGAATTTTAAAATGGTTGTCCATAGGAATTTTACTGTGGTTAGTCTAAATGCAAGTTTTTTGTTTGTATTGATTTATTCGTCATCAGATGCCACAATCACTGATTTTTTAAATACTTAATTCCATGGATATTCTTTAAACTCCTTTTCTACATTTGCTTTACAACAGAATAACTGAATCCTTGTAAACCCAGAACAAGTCAACAAGTCAATTCCTAAAAATAGTCTCGAGACAAATCAATAAGAGGAAAAAAAAACAATAACCAAAGTCAAAGAACTTTGTTACTTTTAATTTATCCCTTTTATATTAATTAATTTTACGGCAAAGAAATTATTTCTCAATTTTATGTTATATAAACTTTATTGCCTTATTTTCCCCTCCCCAGAGGAGGAATATTTTTCACTTGTGTTGGCAGTCCCAGGGGACTATCCTACACTCATCCCTTCCTGAGCAACACGTTTTAATTATAAATACAACAATGGAAAGTTCTCCAACAGTTCACTGGCAACCTCAAAGTTGCAAGTTTCGGGCAGCACAAACTGCACCCTGCATCTTCTCACGGGGCTGGGGGGAGTGTTTGTCATACTTACCAGAACGCAGGGAGCTAAGCAAGACAGAGGAGAGGAAAGAGGCAGCAAAAAGCGAGTCAGAGCAGTAACAGCAGGAGAAGGTGGGCTGGCTGTGTGCTTACAAGGGAGAGAGAAACCCCATACACTCTCTCTCTCTCTCT